TCGGCGAAGTTTCATCTGAGATAAGTGAATCCGAACTAAGAAATGAGCAGGTCGGTCCCGGGCGCTCATCAGAAATGGTGTCGTTTGAACGGTCAATGGCAGTATTTGTCGTGGCCAAAATAGCACGCTTGTTCCATAAAGGCGAATCTTGAGTGATATCAGGGTAAACGAAGTTGAGGAGCTCGTTGAATTCTGTCGTGTATTGAAGTTGAAAGTGGTCTTGGGGGTCATCGACGTTGTGGTTGTTGAGGGCAATGACATTGCTGTCGTGAATTTCAGTAGTGGGGTGTGTACCTTCTCCGATAGCACGTACGAAAGCTGAGTATTGTGGGTCCTCTCTGTCTCGTTGTGATTTCGTGAGTTTCATCCTGTGCACGTTGGTCCACAAAACGCTAGAGATGAAAGCAGCGTCGACAGTGTCAGTAGCTGATCCATTCTTGACAATAGGTCCTGTTTGACGCCAATCTCCACTAAACAAAATGGTTTTGCCACCGAAGACCTTATCGATTTTTGTGAGGTCTTTCATGGTCCTGTCAAGAGCTTCAATGCAGTATCTGTGCGTCATAGGTAATTCATCCCATATGATTAGATCCGATTTACGAATAAGCTCAGCCCGTTGTGTCTGAGTGTTGATGTTGCACACACAGGTGGGGGTTAAGGCGTCATCCATAGGCAACTTGAACATGGAATGGGCAGTCCAACCTCCTGGAAGTTGTAAAGCAGCAATGCCCGTAGATGCAACGATTAAAACATTCTTGTTTTCCCCCCTTAACCTGGCAGCAATGCACTTTTCGGTGTAGGTTTTCCCTGTTCCAGCAGGAGCGTCAATCATAAATGGGTGCGAATTTCCGGTTCTCACCGCTTCAATGACTGTATTGTAAACATGGCGCTGTTCAGACGTAAGTTTTGGTTCGTGCGAGTCGGCGTATTCTGTACTTCGTTGAGCGTTGAAAGACTTTTTCATTCTTTGGAATTCAGTTAGTGTGTGAACGACGCTTGGGAGGTTTACTTGCGTGTTAGTCTTTCCATGCTGTTGCAAATTCAAGTCAATTTCTTTCAAAGCGTTTTCGACTGCGTCGTCTTCAGACATTCTTGACAGGAAGTCCTGGATGAGGCTGTCTTTAAACTCTCGCCATAATTTTGACGCTGGTGCACCATCTAGGATTAGCGTTACGAAGAGAGACCGTAGTGAACGTCCCACTTGAAATGTTATAGCTTCTTCCATGCACATGGTGTATTCTTCATCACCTGTAATCAAGCCTCGCGCTCGGGCAGCGTCGTGGAAAGTATTGTGTTCAACAGAGACTCCATCATTGGGTTCAACTGTGCGTAGTTGTTGAAAAGAACGTGCTGGCACTCGGTGGAGAAGAAGCCTTAAATAGTAAAGGTCTCCGACGGATGGGTTTTGGAAAGCAATTCGGCACACATGTTCATCATGTTTTCTTTTAGAGACGATGTTGAGATACCCGTCCAAGTATTTTCCGAACGGCGCAACCTGATCGGGAGGATCCTTAGGCGGTGATACGGTGTACTGCTCGTAGTAATCTAAAATTGTTAAGGGGGAGAAGAAGTCATTGGCGGGACGATTAAAATATTTAAGCAGGTCAGACTGGGAATTTTCGGCAATGGTCAATCGTTCTTCGTGGGTGGCATTGTGGGGATAAGTGATGTATTGTTCCCCCTCGAGGTGTGCATGGATTTTGGTAACGGCGGGGTATCTGTCCATCATGTGGTAGCCTAGGAGTCTCCACGTTGCTTCGGCGGCTGAAATGTATCGTGTTTTTCTAAACTGTTCAATCTCGCTCGTAATACCCTGAATTCTGGCCTTGGCAAAGTCTTCGCCCTTGCGTACGTACTTGAAGAGATAGATAACGCATGATGTTGCCGTTACGACGTCAACACAAATGTGGCAGTCAAACATCATGAGCAAAAGGGGGTTGTAAGGGACTACCCATTCGTTGCCAACCTTGACATCCTTCCATACTCCATCAACTCGAACTCGTATTGTTGGGTTGTCACCGTTTCTTGTGCGTTTGTACTCTGCGCGTCCTGTTTTGTCGTTAACGATTCCAATATTCCTGAACGGTTGAGGGAAATATTTACTGCAGCATTTTGTGTTTGTCGTTCGGTTCGTTTGCATGCAAGGGGAGTTAACGTTGTGAGCTCCGCACGGCTTGTGTATCATGTATTTCAAAACTTTTTCACGTAGTTTTCCCTGTGCAATGTTTTCACTAGGCAATTGAGCCCAAACCCATTTGTCCATCTCGTTGAGAGCATCAGGTCCAGCATTTTTAAAAGTCATGAGAACGTGCGCGTGAGGGAAACCTCTTTTCTGGAATTCGATTACACTGAGATGGCTGTCGTAGGGGCCGAGAACTTTACCACTCTTAAGTACTGACATAATCTCTTTAAACTTGAGTTTGAAAATACGACAACACAGGTCCGGACGATCGTAAGCACTCTGTCCTGGCAGCAAGTTATCTGTGACCTCTTTCCAATTAGCGTTAAAGGTTATTGTGATGAACAAATGTGGTCGTCCTCTTCTGTTAACGATGCTTAAAGCGTCTTCGGTGTCACTTTTCCTCTTAGCTGGTGAGCCAGGGTGGCTAGCAGGGAGTAATTTACCTGGATGTTCTGTAGGGGATGAGTCACGAATTGAACGATCGGTTGCAAGTCGTTGTTGGAGAGCGGGTCTCTCGACAAATGAAAGGCGGTCTTCCTCCATTCTACTAAGAGAGTCACATGCCCACTCCTGGGCTATCCGGCTGTTAAACTTGAAGATTTGTTCGGACAATATCCGCTGTCTGCAATAAAAGGGAAAGGAAACTGGGTGCGTGTTCGTTTTATTCATGGTCCTTGATTTGAATGGTGGGTCTTCCTGACGATGACCTTTACTCCAACCTGCTTCTCCATGCAAAAAAAGGAGAGGAAACTGAAGTGTCTCGTACGCTGGACTCCATAGCGGTAAGAAACGTGGTCTGGAATCTGGGCTATTCTTCGGATAAGTAACAACTGCGCGTGGGGCGTCGTTGTGTTGACCTGACGTGTATAATAGAGCTGCTATTTCAGGGGCAGTTACAGTTTCTCCTACTACTGGGCCATCGTTGACTCTGCTTACTTCTGCGAATTCAATGTAAGGCACCGGAGCGTTGGGATTGTGGGTTGTTGACCCGTTGATGACGCTGTCAACAGCTGAACGAGATTGCTTAGCCCAACTTATTTTACGGTTCACATGACTTCTTAAAGCGCTGGCAATTGTGGAGTCCAAACTTAACGATGAGGCTTTTTCGGAGAACTCAGAGTCATAAATATAAAAGCGTGCGCTGTTACTGACGTTGTACTCTTCATAGCGTTCTTGCAAGTCAAAGATCCGATGATAAGCTTTCCCGTGCAAGGTGAGCATGGAGGGGGGCAGCGGTTCGGTCCAGGTTTTCTTTGGAATTCCACCGGCTCCTAAAGCTGTAAAGCTAAACAGGCCGTTGTATCTTCTTTGTAAAGCTTGAAATTTTGGGTCTTGAAAAATTCTCATGATGCCTGATGGCACGGGTTGGAGGGGATGAATAGCGGCTTTGCCGTTTTTGCAGCAGTTGTAACGGTTCGCTCGTTCTTCTTTCCAAAGTACAGAATTGCAGTGAGGGCAACGGTAGTTGTTTTCGTCGAGCAATGACGTATGCTGTAATTCATAGGAGTCAAGGGGAAAGTCGATGTCTTGCGAGTTAAAATCTTGAACTCCCCGTCTAACGGGCTGATTATGTTCATCTTCGTCATCACTTAGAGGGTCGACACTTGTTGGAAGTCTTGAAGGGCGGTTTCTCATGCGGTTGAAATGATGTTGCACTATGTTAAGGTGATTGTTGGTTGCGTTGCTTCCTGAGTTGTTTTGTCCTGTTGCACGACGCTGTGCTAAAGTTGCAGCTCGCCTACGTCTCTGTTCTCTCGCTCTTGTAGCGTTAGTTGAACTCCGTTGGCTCTGAGATAAATGTGTAGCAGCACGACGCTGGGCTAACACGGCAGCTCGTCTACGTCTCTGTTCTCTAGCAAGCAAAACACGGTGTGACATGCGTAAAGGTTGTATCCGAACGATTCAGTTAAAGGTTAAGGTGCAAGGGGAGCGTCAGCCCTAGGAACGTCGACCAAATAATAAAATCAAGTCGCACCTCAAAAGTCAGCCAGGTGAGCAGGAACCTCGGCAGAGGGCTGAGCAGCCTCTTGTTTTTCAGTGGAGTCGAGATCACGGAGCTGCCGTTTCTTGCACAGGATACTGTTGACGGTCTTTGTCCACTCGCGCTTGGCGCAGAGGAGGTGAAGGGGAGGCTCGTCCCAGTCCTTCACGACCAAGTCGCCGTCGGCGATGACGCCCGTGCAGCCGCTGTCGAGGTCAATGGCCGCGGGTTGCTCAGGGTCGTAGCTGTGACAATGTTTCTTTTTTTTTTGCGAAACGCACGTGCAGACGGAAAAAGCGCGCAACAGCAAATCTTCAGCACAGCCGTAAAACACATGTTCGGAGGCACCCACAGCAAATCTGCATCATCCACACTCCTGGCAAGTTTTTGCGTGAGAACTATTTTTGTATACGACAGACCGAAATATTTTCACGGCAGCAGCAGCAACGATCAATCCTCTCGCACGCGTACCGGACAATGGATCAATTTTAACCCCAAAGCGACGCAGACATGAAGACATGAGACTTACTACGCCGACGTGTTCCGAGCCGGCGGTGGTGGCGTTCTTGAAGTGCAAACCGTCCGAGGTCTTCGCTCCGGCGCAGTGCGAAAACACCCCGTGGATGTTGTCCCAAACTGGCACGATCCATAAACGTACAGGGAGAGATTTTTGTGGAAATATTAGCGCGTCACATGAGCAGAGGGCAGATGTGGTTGTACACTGTGTACCAATGATGTATCTTGTGAAACTCTTTTACGCTTGCCAACTACTACTCTGTTGTGCTGCTACTGTGGCGCGAGGTTGCGCAAGTTCGAAAAAAGAAAAAGGAAAGCGAGGATCTATCACTTAGGGCCGTTTTAAACGGACCGACTTTTTTGTCAAAATTTTCGACATTTGTTCAAAAACTTGGAACCTGTGTGCAGTCATTTTAAACGTGTGACGTGGACTTGTGCAACTTGTGTAAAAAAAAATGACGCCGTCCGTGAGTTGTAGCTCTTACTTCGAGACAACACACACGACACAACACAAACCGCGGAAAACACAACATCATGGACACCGACATGGATATCACGACCACTCAGCGTGGCCGGCAGACCAAAACCCCGGCGAAATTCCAGCAGACGGGCTCTCTCGGTGCCGCCGTAGGCGGTGGAGGCTTGCTCTCCAGCAAGATAGTGCTGCTGCCTGGCATCTCGGGGAACACTCATGTTACCACGGGAGGCGCTGCCGCCACCAACACTC